ATTGCCGGAATCCATGGTCGTCTCCACCATCGCCGGACCTAGGGTCGGAACCCTAGGTCGGCACCTGCTCTGCTCCGATCTGTTCTCCTCGTCTCTATCCGTCTGGTATCTGCCTTTTTATAGATTTAGAAGTCAGCTTCCCTTCTTGAATTAGAACTCTATTTCCCCCTTGTTTGAGTTGGAGAAGGATCCTTCTTGCGCCAAGCACGAATTGGTTCCCTTTTTATTTTACTTTCTTCATTATCTTTTTGTTGTTTCTCTTTGTTTACGTGAGTAACAAAAGCAACTAAAAGGGTCAACTATTTGATTTGGCCCAATTAGTATTCTTTTTTCCATTTTGAACTCTATCATTTGACTGCTGTCTTCCTTAACTTTTTAGCCACCAAATTATATCTAAAAATATTCATGTAAAAGAAAATCATACCATGAGATATTTGTAGAATATAAAATGCTCAAAATCATGCATTTTATGTATAAAATGTAAACAATAGCCTAAAATGCTAAATAGAACAAAACAAGCTTATTTAAGTATAAAATGCATATTAATTGTCTTAAAAGTACTAAGAAATGAGAGAATAAAATATGACATTTTGTGACTTAACAAAAGTATAAATATTTACTTATAATAAAATTAATACTTCACTAACTGACACTTTTTTGCGTAGGTGAATACAATAAAAAAAGTGGAACGTAGATTCAGTAAAGTTCCCGAATCAATTGCTGCAGAGGTTCGAGACACATTAAGGGTTGCTTTAGAAAACGTTGATCGCAACCAAGAGAAGCTGGTTGAAGACGAAGATGAAAAAGATCACGGAGAAATGTATGCAGACAAAGAAGAACTTGACGAGGAAGAGCTCGGGACTGGTGGACAATTCCTGCATTTTGTAGAACCCAAAAAATCCACTGTTTTATTTTTTCATCATTATAGGATTTTTAGCCCACTTTATTTTTAAAATGCTATGGGCATAAAATTTTAAGTGTTGTGGTGTAAGTTGTATTTTGTTCTTTTTGATAATGATAAAAAGACATTTATTTTCTTTTTGGTCTTTTGAACGAGGACGTTCAAGTCTTAATTGTGGGGTATTTGATAAGTCGATTTTGGGTTAGTACTTTTTATTCTTTTTTAGGCATTTTTAATATTTTTAGAATATAATTTTTAGCTTTTTAGCTTAGTTTTATTTTAATTCTTATTTTTACAATCTTTTATTTTGTGTCATGTAATATAATGGAATATTTTAGAATATAAATATTTTGTGTCATGTAATGGAATCTACTCTGAAAATATTAAATTTTGAAAATTAAAAAAGAGGGCCAAAAAAATTTAAATTTTGAAATTAAAAAAATTGGAGGATTGAAAAAATTTAAATTTTGAAATTAAAAAAGCTGGAGGGCGAATGCGCAAAACAATAAAAATTTAGTGGGAACTCTGCTCGCAAACTTCTCGAAAGACTTGAACTCTGCACGAAATGACTAGTAAAAATGAGCAAACAAAATGGGTAAAGTTTGATCCTGTGAATATTATATGAGAAGATCTATGGTGGACAGAGGGAGTAATATATTACGGAGTAGTATATATGTTTGGTTCGGGAATTTCAGTATGGAAAGTAACCTCGTACTATTCCCAAATACCGGACCGATCGTTCGATTCAGTTTCTTTTCGGTACTTTATCGGTTCGGTGTTTATCGGTTCGGTATTCTCGATTTATTCGAGAAATATTGGGATCTTTTACTCTCTAGTTAATTGAATCCTTTACCCGAATTTACCCATTCTAGAGATTGGCCTTTCACTCTTCCCTCGTCCGGTCAATGTTAGGTCTGGTCTTCTTAAAACGAAGGGCTTGTTTGGGAATAATTTTATAGATTAGCATTAGCGTTTGGGATAAAATTTTAACAGTGCAGATTACTTTGAAAACACTAACGCTAAACGCTGTCCGTAGATAGTATTTTAAAAAAGGTAGCTAAAGCTATTCCAAACAGCGCCTAAAACTTTTTGTGCGATTCCCGGTTTCGGACACGGTCCTGAATGCTTATCCACACCAGAATCCCAGTGACGATGAGCGTCTCCTTCGCGGCGTCTCCTCCGAGCTTGACCTTTGCTCCGACGAGGGGTCTCAATAAGTCCTTATTTCACGGCGTCCGCATATCCCATGTACTCCCCGCGCTGCCGGCCCGAACATCGCACTCCTCAATTGTCGTGCGAATGGCTAAGAGGGAAGAAAACCTGAAGGAAATCAGATCGAAAACTACTGAAGAAATCAACGAGGAGGTACTGGACCTCAAGGGAGAGCTCCTGATGCTTCGATTCCAGAAGTCTGCTCGCAATGAGTTCAAGTCTAGCGAGTTTGGCAGAATGCGCAAAACGGTACTTTCCTCCCCACCNNNNTTCCCCCCCCCCCCCCCCCCCCCCCCCCCCTTGTGGTGGCATTTATTAATCGGTAATTGATTTCTTAATGCGGGCTTTTTTTTTCCAACCAATTCTCTCTAAATGTTGAGCTAAATGAATACTTCGTATGTGTTCTTTGTTCTGTTCTCCTAAGCGAAAATAAATTGATGTGGAAAATATTTCACAATGATTTTTTTCTTAAGAATTTAGCTGTATAATCCTTTCATCCAAAAATAACTTTCCGTTTTTTCTTTTTAGTTGTCCTGAACTTGTCTGCTCTTTTCCTTTCAAGGTAGGAATTGGGTGAGTGATTTTATTTTTTTTTCGAAAAAAAAACAAAAAAAATCTCAACCACACGATTCATTGTGGTAATAGGTTTGCCAAAAGTGAAGGAGATGTTCTCTTTGGGATGGAGGGAACATTTTTAAAGAAATGTGAACACCGGGCTCTCACATTCATATGTTTTGTTTAGGATGTTCTTTCCTCATCTTTGCAATGGGGCTACCTCAGTTTTCTTCATATTTTGAAGGGAGTGCAACTCATTAGGTCATTATTGTATTAGGTAAAACATGATTACATATATGTGATTTTATATCAGCATTTTATTGTAATGGTTATTTAGAAAATAATGACAGTTTGGTATAGAAATCTATAAAAAGGGTATTATCATACAATGCTATTGTTTGCTTTGATATGATAGTGTAGAGTACAAACAATAACCCAGTTGAATCCTACTAGTGTAGGGTCTGGATAGTGTATAGTATAGGTTGAAAGCTTGAATATATATATATATAAACCATGGAAAATTGTGGATTAACATAAAAAATCGTACCATAAATCTTAAAATGGAAACAAACATGGTTATCCATTTTATTAACTTTGGTTAACCATGATAAACCACGACTCAAGCTATTTAACATCCCCAAGAACTTTCTCAAAGAATGTGTGTTCCTGGCTTCTCATGTTTCTTTGTTCAAGGTATATAATATTATGGCATCACCAAGGTAATCTATACATTGAAATATTAAATTCCCTTGTTTGGCTCGCATTTTGTTTTGTTCCCAAGTAGTGCACCTTTTGTTGTTTTTTCTCATGGTGCACATTTTGTGTTCTCATTTTGAAGGGATGTGAGTGTATTTATTGTTATGAGTTATCTACCATTATTAATCTTTTTTTCCAATGTGACATCATTGTGTAATGAAATGCTTGGTTCAAGGTATTTTACCAGGTAATGTGAAAGCTGAAATCTTACATTTCCGTGTGCAGTTCATGCTAGGTTTTTCCCACAAAGATTGTTAACATCCCTTGCTTAGTGTGACAGTGTTACCTAACCATTTTTTTCCATTTTAAGGGAATGTGAGTATTCTCCTCTTAAGTTATCTAACATTCCCAAGTTTTTTTCTCAAGGAATGTAAAATTCTGAGTTTTTGGAGTATATTCATGTTCTAGGTATATATTTTGTCTGCAAATTACAACAAACTTTGACCGGGCATGGGAACTAAGTGCTAGGAAAGTTAAAATTTCATGGTTGAGAGTCTTGGGGATGTTCTGTGTAGTTCTGGTTTCACATTGCTGGAAACAAGATGATGAGTAAAGTTGCAGTTTTAATTGTTGAATGTTGTAGTGTATGATTGCCCCTTTTAGCAGCCCATTATACCTGAAATATACTCGTAATTAATTTTGAATGTTGAGTTAGCATCCAGTGTCATACTCTCAATTGAAACATTGATTATATTTGTTTTTACTTCATGTGTTAGATTGCTAGGATGCTAACTGTGAAGCGGGAAAGAGAGATTGAGGAAGGGATCGGCAAAAGGCTTTCAAGAAAGTTAGACAAAAAGTGGAAGAAAAGCATTGTTCCTAGACCTCCTCCTTCTTTAAGGAAACTGCAAGAGGAGGCAGATGCAGAAGCCAAGGAATCAAATTGAACTTGGAAACTTCTGTGTCTAGGTAATGTCACATCTTTCTTGGTTCTGTGTTAGTAGAGTCTTACGTTTTACAATGCACTAAACAATCTACTAATTCCAGTTCATATTTCTAGCCCTATTCTGTTGATTTGGATGAAAGTTTCTTCCTTAGGTTCTGCAACATCCTTGTATTATCAGAGATAATGAATCTGAAAACGTTTAGCGACAATGGATGTAACAATTATGACCACTACTATTATATAATATATACACATTAGAGAGACGAACCCGTATGAGCCTCTTGTTGCCACCTCAATATATCTCACGACCCCACTTCTGAGGTGGTGGAACATGAATCTTATTTGATTTTGGGATTATCCTTTTTTTCCTCTAACACTAGTCGCCCTCACCCCATTTCCATGCGGGTACATCTTATTTATGTGTCGGATTTAATCCAAACCATTTCACGTAAGCTTCATCTTAACTCAATTACTTGTGCTTCGGTGGTCTAAGTCTAACATTAATTAAACAAGCTTGATATATTGGGCTTAAAATATTACTCTCTTCATCGTATAGCATTCTTCCCGGTTTGACTAAGACTCATTTTTAATGGAGTTTAAAAAATGCTTCGACTTTCCAAAAATATCCTCACCATGCTATGCACCTTTTGCACTTGCTCCTATAGTTTTAATGTAGAATTAAAAGCATATTTTCTTTCACAATTTGACAGAACAAACAACTACTATTGTCGTTTGAGAGTTTCTTTTGAAACTTAGAACCATCTTAAAATTTAACTTAAACCATAGATCTTAGATCCAAAAATGTCATTGTCCTGTTAGAAGATTCTTTTTTTTAACAACAAAAGCTCAATTCATCACTCTCACAAATAATGTTTACAAGAAAATGAGGTGGAATGACATGTCATTCCACGATATTAGACTTAGAATCAACCTCCTTAGCCACAAGGTTAGAAGCATACTACTAAAACAAAATTGCCTTAACTAAATTGATGCTCAAACTACTAAAACAAACGGTAACTAGGTGTAAGAAGATTCTTAGATTTGGAATTTTTTAGAATGTATAAAACATAAAATTTTCATCTCCAAGAGCACACAGATTGAAAGAGGCTAGGGCACCAAAACGAATAGAAGGCCGGTTCTCATAGGGGCACCATCGTGACAGACACAATATTGACGACTATGGAGGGATTAATTGTGAGCACTTAGATTCATAGTAGAGGTTGTGGACGAGGGAAGAACTTGGTGGAGATATCAGATATGGGAGAAGTTGAGATGACAAAGGAGAAACTTCTGTAAGATGATAGAGAAGGATGTGGGCGGGTTGGGGGAATGGGGAGGTAATAGGTGATAAATGTTGCTCGCATTTGTCTTTTTTGCGTTCCTCATTGTGACTTTTTCTCCCTCAAGGTATGATGATGGACAAGGCTGGGCGAACTCGTGTGTTGACGAAACAACACAACTTTACGTACAACATTCGAATATTTTGGCTAATACATTCGAATGTATGCGGCAGTTATTGTTAAACATTATGTTTCAGTAGTTTTAAGCATGATTCGAATGTTGGATACTACACATTCGAACGTGTTGTGCCTTTTCGCAAAAGATGTTGGAGATAAACTACACATTCGAATGTTGCCTTGCTTTGGTCTCCGTTTACGAAAATCTGAAGTTCCTTGAAACAACAATGTCCAAAATAAAAAGATTTCACCCAAGCCAGGGGCTTTACCCCTTGGACCTTGCTACCTGGGGCTACCGCCCCCGGACCCGGCTACGGAATGTGTAATATCGTTCGTTGAACATATGCGTGCACTTTGCACTACCCAACTCATTAACAATGCCTATTAAATAACATTAGCAATCAATTATCCATCTTTCTTATAGTCGCATCGGGTTTGTACATATATATAAGGGTATGTTACATGATACTACACCCATTGAGCTGTGAACGACTCTTTTTCTCGGGTTTTTGTGATTTCCCTTCTACTTTCCCAGCATCTTCTACCTGACCAGGCTGTTTTCTTACTTCTGCAGATTCTTTCATGGAAGGAGATTCTATTTCAATTTCTACACCTTTTTCTTCTCTAGGAAGAATTTCTTCTTCAACATTATCTCTAGATTCTGGTACTTCATGAGATTTCACATGTTCTTTTGTTGATTCTTCTTCTGCTATAGGAGCAGAGGGTGCATTACCATTCTGAATTGGTTTGCCCTTCGGTTTTACGGGACCAACCTTAAATAAATTTCTCCACGCCTCGAACCATGGCCAACGAGTACGAAATGATTCCATGGATGCAATAGATTTTTTAGCAAATTCCTTAGCCTTAGCCTGGCCTTTCTCACCCAGGTTACCAAACATGGAACTCATTAGAGGTATATTTTAGGGGGAGTTAAATTTAGATATTTAATGGAATGAGTTAGAGAAATTAGTTCATGCAATCATGGATTTATATAGTGTTACATGATTTACTTATTTGATTAAGGGTAAAAGTAGATTAGGGAGTATAATATGTGCTTATATTATTGGAAAGAGTGCAATGGAAGGAGAAGGAAAGGAATTTCTTAGGAGAAACTATGAAAGCTTCTTAAATATTCTCATTCCTTGGAATGGGTTAGTCTAGAATTTTTTTAATAATCGAAGAGCGAAACATTTAAAAAATTGCAATACAAATTATATACTCCCTCTGTTTCAAAAAATCTTTCCTCATTTTTTCTTGTCTCACAAAATCCTTCCTTTTCTATTAAAAAAGTACTTTTACTCCTATTAATTCTTAACTTACATATCATATTATACCTTTTTATTACGAAGTAATAATCTACATATTACATTCTACTTTTACCCATCACATCAAGAGTATTTTTGGAAAATTAATACAAAATTATCTCTTCCTTAAATTTCTTAAAAATCAAGACGAGAACATCTTTATACTCCCTCCGTCCCTCCGTCCCTGAGTATTCGTCCAGTTTTAACTTTTGGAACTGTTCATCTAAGCACTTTGACTCATCAAATTCTCTCAATGTGTAAGCCTAAATATAGTCATGTGTGATCTTGTTTGATTTGTCTTAACATATAGATTATTAATATATAATTTCTATAATTTTTTAATATACAAATTACAAGATAAAATAGATTAAAGAAGTGTATTGGATGGTGTGTAAAAATAAAAGTGGACAAATACTCTGGGACGGAGGTAATATGACGAAAGAAGTATTATCAATAATTGGTCACATACTCTCGATTCTTTTAAATGTACATGAGGTAAGACAAGCAGATTCTCTATCTCTGTTACTCCGTTTGCTCCAAATTAAATTGTATTTATATTATTTATAAAATTAAATTTCATTCATTTTCTTATTTGTTTTCGTTACAGATTAGATAAAAAGATATAAAGTCACGTTACTTCTTATTTTATACGAAGTACTCTGATTTTATTGGGAGTAGAATTTTTGATTAAGTTTTTTCAAATATTTAAATTTTATTTTTTTAATTTCATCTCAATTGTCTTACTCCCTCCGTCCCGTTATATTCATTCACTTTTGACTTTTGGAACTGTTCATCTAAGCACTTTGACTCATTAAATTCTCTCAAGGTGTAAGCCTAAATATAGTCATGTGTGATCTTGTTTGATTTGTCTTAACATATAGATTATTATTATATACTCCCTCCGTTCCGCTATATTCGTTCACTTTTGACTTTTGGCACTGTTCATCTAAGCACTTTGACTCATCAAATTCTCTCAATGTGTAAGTCTAAATATAGTCATGCATGATCTTGTTTGATTTGTCTTAACATATAGATTATTAATATGTAATTTCTATAATTTTTTAATATACAAATTACAAAATAAAATGGATTAAAGAAGTGTATTGGATGGTGTGCAAAAATGAAAGTGGACAAATATAGTGGGACGGAGGAAGTAATTTCTATAATTTTTTAATATACAAATTACAAGATAAAATGAATTAAAGAAGTGTATTGGATGGTGTGTAAAAATGAAAGTGGACAAATACTTTGAGATGAAGGGAGTATAAATTAAACTAAAAATAATTTTACTAAAAAACCGTAAATGAAAAAGACAGTTTAAGTTGAGAGGGAAGAAGCAGGTTTTCTTTTGGGATAGAGATGGTCACATCCCACAAAAAAACTTACCCCACACATTAATTTTACTTCACTATTTTCTAAATTAATTTTAATTTTGTGCTTTGCACACACTTCTATAAATTCTAGGTTTTCTAACATTTTGATAAAAACAAATTTGCATTAAATTATAATTTTCTATATTTAAATTTTTAAATAAATATATGGTATGTGTTATTTAAATCATTTTTAATTAATAGATATGATAACTATTTTAATTAAAAGATGTAGTTTGAATAACTATGCACATTTATTATCATTTATATAAATTTTTGTCTTTTAAAAGTAGTAAAAGGGGAAAATGGTGAGTGGTTTTAGAAATTTATGTAAAGCTCTCTTTAAAAAAAATAGTAAAACTAATGCAATCTTCTTTTAAAAATAATAACATAATTATTTAGATTAATAAAATTAAAATGGTGAATACATATTGGTATAATGCTTTAAAAAGGGAAATTTTTGTACAAAATTAATAGTTATTGAATGTAATGGTAATGGATTTATTTTAATTAATGAAAATTGAAAATAATAGATGCCAAAGTTTAAAATTATAATTAAATTTTTTTAATGAAAAGTAATAAAAAGAAATAAATGGTGATAGTTTTAAAAATTTATATACAATGTCATTTATACAATTAATTAATTCTATACTCTAATTTTAAACGTTGTAACAAACTTCAACTTGTAACAAAAAATAAATTTCAACCTTAATTTTTTTAACAAAAATGTACCTCGGACGACAAGCAACAAGGATTAACAAAATTTTTCTTTTGTTGTTGTTGTTCTCTTTTAATGTTTTTGACCGCAATAGTATTTTACTTGCTTTGTTAAGTCCAATATTGTTACACTTTCATCCCAATTTTTTCATTTTAAAATAAGAATATCTCTCATTTAAATTAATAATAGTAATAAAATTAAATTTCTTGGTTAATTTTAATATAAGATTAATTTAAAAATAAGTTATTAAATAATATTTCAAATGTTTATATTACTTTGTATATTACCCCGAATAATTTCTCATCTTCTCTTTGGTTCTTTCCACTATTTTTAATTATCCTCATTTTTTTTTCTTTTCACTTTCCTAATTTAAATATTAAAATAAATAAAAATGAATTTTTTTACCTTTCTCACTTTTTTTAATTTGGTAAAGTTTGAGCTTCAATTACTCTCAATTTGTACTGCATAGTAGTACAATAAGATAAAATTGTGAAAGTTCTCAACTCGATAAATGTAATAAAGACATTTATTTATTAGTATATATTATAATTTTGTTTAATTGAAGTTCGAAGTTTACTTTCTTTGACTAAAAAAATTTAAAGTGAACGAATATATTAGAACAATAGAACGGAGGGATATTTTTTACTCCGTACATAAAATGATTTGAAATTAATGAAGAAAATAAAAAAGAATTAAAATTACTCCTTAATCTAAAATTACTGTTCATGAATCATGAATCATATAAACATTTCCAGCCCGGAGATTTCTCGTTGTTGACCGGAGCTGTCAACAGACCACCGGTAACCGCTCAGTCATTCTACTGATAAGCTGAGTTTGATCTGGGCTTGTTCCGTCGATGAAGTGCAGATCCGTTGCATGTATTTGGTCAGGCTCACCGCCGGCCCACAAAGTCACCGCCGTAGCCGTACTGAACCACCCTTCCACACTCTACACTGGCGGCTCCGATGGCTCCATCATCTGGTGGAACCTCTACTCTTCCGCCGAATCTGCTCTGGTAGAATTTCTCCTTCCAATTCTCATGTCGATTTACCTGTCATAGATGTTTTGTTCTTTGTTCTGTTTGTCAAGCTTTATCACATATTGCACCATTTATATTGTAAGCGGTAAATTCATTTTGATGATCAGGAATTTAAGCCAATTTCTATCCTGTGTGGTCATGCTGCTCCAATAGTTGATTTAGCTATATGTTGTCCCACATCAGTTTCTGGGGATGGTAGATTAGATGAGCCCAATAATAATGTGGTATCCAATTCTAACTGTGGTGCATTAATAAGTGTATGCACTGATGGTGTCATGTGCGTTTGGAGCAGAGCCAGTGGGAACTGCAGACGCAGACGGAAATTGCCTCCTTGGACGGGAACCCCATCTATAGTCCGGATATTTCCTGAAAACCGTAGATATGCCTGCATTGCTTGCTGCACGACTGATTCCGTTAATCAACATGATCATCAGTCACTTGATGCGGGAGTTGAAAGCTTGGTCGATTCAGAGTCACAGCCTGCTAAACCCTCTAAGTGCACAGTCATTATTGTTGATTCATATACTCTTAATGTTCTTCAGACTGTTTTCCATGGATTCTTATCCATTGGACCTTTAAAGTCCATGAATATAGTTTCATCTGCCGGAGGTGAATTGATGCAGTCAGTTATGATGGTTGACATTTTTGGGAAAGTACAGTGTGTGCCAATATTGAAGGATTTTATTTCGAGCACAGAAAATGTTAGACCAACACCAAGTAATCCTTCTAGTTTAGGGAGTACAGGCTGGGTAGATGGGTTGGATGACAGAGGGCTTCTGTTGTCATTCCTAAAATGTGGCCAGGTCTTTGGTTGTTTGTATAGAACATGCTGCATATTTTGTTTATTAGAGGATGGAAGCAAAATAGGTGAAATTTTGTTCTTAGATGGTCCACTTTGTTTGGAAGGCTGTTACATCGTTGGGGGCATGGTTCTTAGAGATGATAAAACTGAGATGGGACTTGATTCGGAGAATTCATATAATTTATTTGCTGTTTGGAATAATAGAGGTTCAGCTGTTGTATACAAGGTATTGTATTCAAGGAACATCTTCAAGTATGAATCCATATATACCATATCTGCCACTTCCCACTCTTATGGTATGAGATCATCTATATCCTTTGCTCAATTAAACAAATGCCTTATCCGGGTTGAATCAGTTTGCTTTCATGAAGAAGAACCAGTGCTTTGGATGCCACATTTAACAATTTGGTCATTGCCTGAGCAGTGTGGTAACTATGTGAAGCTACCTCAAGATTGTGACATGATTGGTGAGGGAATTTATTCTAATGATTGGATATTGAACCTTACTTCGGATACTCATGGTGTTAGGCATGATGTTAGAGTGAAATCAAAAACCACTGACCATAATGTTTCAAACACTGATCGTTCATGTGATAGAAGAGAGTTAGTATCTTCATCAATGGTTATTTCTGAAGACTATGTGCCTTTAGCTGTTGTTAATGGCTTCTGTAATGGTGACATAAAAGTAATGTGTTTTGACATGTTTTTTGAAGAATCAAATTTTCCCAGCCTAAGTCCCCGTCAAAGGAAACACACAAATGAACAGTATCTCACCGGTCACAGGGGAGCTGTACTATGTTTAGCTGCACATCAACTGAGGAAATCTTCTGAAGGGACTTCTGCTTATATTTTGTTGTCAGGAAGCATGGACTGCACCATTCGTATGTGGGATCTTGACTCTAGCAATCCACTTGTGGTAATGCACCAGCATGTAGCTCCAGTCCGCCAAATTATTCTCCCTCCACCTCAAACTGACCATCCTTGGAATAATTGCTTTCTTTCGGTTGGGGAAGATTCATGTGTTGCCCTTGCTTCACTTGACACTATGCGGGTGGAGCGGATGTTCCCAGGTCACCCGTTTTATCCTTCAAAAGTTATGTGGGATAGTAGGAGAGGCTATATAGCCTCTCTCTGTTCAAATCAGACCGGAGATTCTGCTCGAGTTGATATTCTTTACATTTGGGATGTGAAGACTGGGGCTCGTGAGAGGGTCCTCCGTGGAGCTGCTGCCCAATCAATGTTTGAACATTTCTGTTTAGGCATCAACAAAAGTCTTCCTCCTGGCTGTATGATTTATGGGAATACGTCTGCTTCCTTGATGCTTTTTCCTGTTATTGAGGAAACGAAGCATTCACAATCTCATTTACAAACTTCAGGGAAGGCTATTTCTTCGTCAAAGACCTCTTCTGCTAGTACAAGCACAAATTACAGTGTTACATCTGCATGTGTCAATGGTGAAAATGCTGCAGGGTCTATTGCTTCTGCCTCCCAAAGCAAAAACCAACCAATCAAGAGCTTTTGTCCATTTCCTGGAATTTCTGCTCTATCTTTTGATCTTACAGCTCTCATGTCTCTTTGTCTGAGGTCTGAGCCTTTCAGAAGTGAGTTTGATAACATTGATAAAAGCCAATCAAAAATGGTAAGGATTGATAGTCACACACAAGGCACTGAAACTAAAGTGAGCATTCATAGAAAGGAGCTTGAAAAGGGGTTGCCTGGTCAGCACCATGTGATTGAAGATAATGAAGTTGATGTGACTAAGAGAGATGCTGCACAATATCATGAGTGGATCTGCTCTATTGAAAGGTGTCTACTTCAGTTCACTTTGGCTTTATTACATTTGTGGAATGTGGATTATNAACTGCTAGTGACTGAAATGAAGCTCAAGAGACCTACAAATTTTCTTATATCTTCTGGTCTACTAGGGGATAGAGGGTCTTTGACGTTGTCATTTCCAGATGCTCCTGCAACTCTTGAGGTAGTGTAATGATCTATATCTGACCCACTCATCAACTTCCTCCATACATCATTCTCCTAAGACATAAACTGATTATGCAGCTTTGGAAATCATCATCCGAGTATTGCGCTATTCGCTCACTAACTATGGTCTCCCTTGCCCAACATATCATTAGCTTGTCACCTGGCTATTCAGCAGCTAGCAGGTACTGTATGTCGTAATATACATACTCATATTTACTCTAGCTCTCTACATTGAATTGCATCTCCTTATTGCTGGATGTTACTTTACAATAATGGTGCACGTTCTCTTCAGTAATTACTCATATCTAGCTATTGTGGGCTCATTTTTTTAAGGCTCCCACCAGTCCAGTTTTTGGAAAAAAGTGTAGATTTTCCTGGGTTTGGACTTTGGAAGGAAGAACTGTTTCCCGAAGGAAATTACCTTTCATGATTCTTTTTAGCTTTGATGAAAATGACCTTCTCTTCTGAAGCAGTTCATTTTTTTTCTGTATTAAACATTATACAGAGTATTATACATAGAAATTAATTATTTTTGGGTAAACATCTTCCATAATAAGTTATTCTCCCACTATCAAAAGGTAATTTATTTCGTCTTGAAAATTTACAAAGAATGAGGTGTGCATTGGATTTCTTATTCCTTCCACTTTTGAAACATTGTATGGCTTTTGGAACTTATATTAATGACTCTGTTGCAATGCGTCTTACTTGCAGTGCATTTTCAGCATTTTATATGCGCAATTTGACAGAAAAGATCCCAAACATTAAGCCCCCTTTACTGCAGGTAACATGCTATGTGAAAAGCTTTTTACATTCCTTATTCAAATATCTTGTGTTTAGTAACATGCTATGTGAAAAGAATTTTCTTGTTGTAATATGGTCTAATTTTATCTGCGATTTTCCTTTCTGCTATTATTTTAGGTGTGTGAATTGCTTTTCCACTGACTTTAGGACTGTCAGCAATATAATTCAGCTTCCCCCCCTCCCCCTGGCTATCTCCTCTTTTCCCTTTTCAAGCTAAAGCATATGAAAATGTTTAAACTTGTAATTTGAAAATTAAACACTTGATCTTAAACTTGAATTTCTTGACTATATCACTTCAACTTGCTTTAACACGAACAAATCAACTTTTGGTTCCTTCGTTGGGGCACTTGAACACATGAGAAACAGAGCTGTAAGCAGGCAGCGATGCACATCTATTTTGCACACACTTTATTTCCGTATCGAACTTTCTAGAATTCCATATTCTTATATGCAAGACTTCACGTTCCTTATTAGAGTGTGAGTTACTTTTCCTCTAACTTTAGGACTTTAAGACAACGGTATTATTCAACAGTTTCTGGTATGAGCACCGATAGCTTGGGTAGTTCTGATATCCAAATCCATGCATGTCTAGTAAGTTAAATGCTTGTAACATATTCCCTTGTTCATGAAAGTCAAGCATCTTTCAATTTTTTTACTGTTTAATAACCATCAGTAGAATCTTTTGTTTATATATATTAAGTCAACCTTTTTGATAATCACTTATTTAATTACATTGTTTTTTAAGCTTTTAGTAAGCTTTTGGCAAGATGAGATTGAACATGTAAAAATGGCTGCACGTTCTTTGTTCCATTGTGCTGCTTCACGAGCTCTACCTCCTCCACTCTGCATGAATAAAACAAATCATCGTGAAGATCTTATGGATTATTCATATGGACTGTCAGAAAAAGAAAAGTATGAGAGGCACATTGGGTTGGAAACAGATTCTGAGGATAAAGAATCAGAAATATTATCATGGCTAGAGTCTTTTGAAATGCAAGACTGGATTTCTTGTGTCGGGGGAACAAGTCAAGATGCAATGACATCTCATATCATTCTTGCTGCTGCATTGGCCGTTTGGTATCCTAGCCTTGTGAAGCCAAAACTTCCCATGCTAGTTGTTCACCCACTGATGAAATTGGTAATGGCTATGAATGAAAGATATAGTTCCACTGCTGCAGAGATTCTAGCAGAAGGAATGGAGAGCACGTGGAAGGCAATCATTGTTTCTGAAGTAACTCGACTGATAGTGGATATTTTCTTTCAAATTGAGTGTGTCAGTGGTGCGTCTGCTAATGCATCCACACAAATGTCAGCCCAATCTGGAAATATTCATGAAACTCTAGTTGATGTTCTTCTCCCAACTTTGGCAATTGCTGACGTGCCCGGTTATCTTAATGTAATTGAAAGCCAAATTTGGTCAACTGCATCTGATTCACCTGTGCATGCAGTATCCCTCATGACTCTTACTAGGGTTGCACGTGGTTCTCCAAGGAGTTTAGTTCAGTACCTTGACAAGGTCCGTAAAGATGCATGTTTTGGATAGAGAAATATATATACAGTCTTCAATATGAGACAATTATTGCTGTGGAAAATAGCTTTCCTGAACTTTAGACTACATCTATTTATTCTTCAAGGATTCAATGTCTCATGATACGTGAAATTTTTACCGTTTTCCATATTTCATTAGGTCCTTTATTCATTTTTGTACTGGAGATGTGTAAGTTATAAGGGGGTGGATGTTTGATGATAAAGGAAGGAACACTATTTAGATGTTCTGCTACATTGTTGGCACAAACTCTTTAAAATTTTAATCATTCTCGTAAAAAAAAAATCAATCGTCCCAATTTTTGTTCTGAATTAAGTTCAACTTTCCTCTTTGAAAAGTTCCAAAATACAGTTCTCATTTCCACCTTTTCACATTTCAACACTTTTCTTAAACTCCGTGAAAGGCAAAGTGGGAATTTAATATTGGAACGGAGGGTGTATATTTTTTAAATGTGGTTCTATGTTTTTCCTTTCTAAAGGCACAATTTATCTATCATTCATCACATCTCTAAGCATGTACTGAACTCTTCTTCCAACTTCTAAGCATCAAACCACTTCCAAATCTAAGCATATCTAACATTTTGACAGGTATGCAGGTGGTTACTTTCATTTTACAGACAATGGATCCTAGTAACTCGGTAATGTGTAGGGCTTGCTTGCCAAGCTCAATGGTTGCATTGAAGGAAATGGTTCGTATATTTCCTATGGTAGCCCTTAATGGTTCATCAACAAAGCTGGCCATCGGAGATGCAATTGGTGATATAAACAATACAAGCATTCGTATATATGATATGCAAAGGTAATAACTGACAACATTCGACTTTAAGAACACAACACCACATGCATATACCTCATTAAAGTATTGTTTATAATACATCAGATATGTAAACGATTAATTTGTAAAATTTTCCGTGATTGCCCACATTAAGTGGGGGGTTTTCCCGTTCTATTTACATCAACGATTTCATTGCCTTTTCTTTTCAATAAATATTCAGCATTACCAAAATAAAGATCTTGGATGCAAGCGGACCACCGGGACATCCAAGTTTAATTGGAGAAGCTTCAGAAATGGCTGTAAATACTTCAATATCTGCCCTTAGTTTTTCACCAGATGGAGAGGTATTCTAGTATTATGCTTCAGGAGTTTCTCTCATGCTTGAGTTTCTATGCAATATCCACCTTTGTTTTCTAGGGACTTGTGATTCCCTCATTTTATGTCTACTTTTATACCCCAGGGGCCATGGCTTGTTATTACAACCATGAAGAGAAAACTGACAATCTCTGAGCCATTAGAATTTAGAAATCTCTACCGGTAGTTTTTACACTTATACTCCCCCGTTCGAAAAAACCGTTTCCACTTTCACTTTTCATCCGTCCCAAAAAACATTTCCACTTTCAATGAAAATCTCCCTTTCGCCCTTACTTTTTATTAACCTATCTATCACATCATATCTATTCACTATCTACATATCACATCCTATCCTACCCTACTATAAAGTAAGGGCTAAATTGGAAAGTAACACAAATTACACATTCCTTAAATCCCACTTTTTTTTAAAGTGGAAAGGTTTTATGAGACAGAGGGAGTAATGGGTTTCTTGCTTGACTATGTTTCTATATTTAGTGTTTTTACAAATGCACCTCTATCTTTAGTTAGCATTTCCTGGGCTTTGTACAATCACCATTTCTTGTCCTTTTTATGTTTAAATTGCTCGTAAATTATTAATTCTTAACCCTCAACCTTGCATGCTGTCGTAGTCTCGTCCACTGACTCTTAGGTTTATAGAAAATATTTTCTGTAAATTTAATTATTTTAAATTGTGTGTCACACATAAAATCTTTTAGCTCCCATCCGACAAATGGTTTTTCTTCAAGGTTTGTCCTGTGTGGCTGAATGTTTGGTTTTAAGGATGTAAATTTTGTTGCAGGGGCTCCTTGCTTTCTCTGAGAATGGACTGATGATTAGATGGTGGTCCTTAGGGTCTGTATGGTGGGAGAAACTTGCCCGGAATCTCGCTCCTGTCCAGTGCACCAAACTGATCTTCGTTCCACCATGGGAGGGGTTCTCACCTAATTCAAGTAGGATTAGTATAATGACTGCTGCTGCTTTTTCTAAAAATGGACAACATGCATCAAAGGTACTCACAAATTCATGTGTACTTGAACATGTAATTCATAATAATATGTTTATAATTGAGTACCGATAATGTTATACCGTTTGATGTCTCACAGGGGAGCTCCAAGCCTTCAAACGAAATAGACAGATTAAAACTTTTGGTTCATAATCTTGACTTATCTTATAGACTGGAATGGGCTGGAGAAAGAAAAGTAAAACTCACACAACATGGCCGTGAATTGGGCATTTTCCAGCTTCAAGTGTAATTTCTTTTTATTCTTTGTGTTCAACATTTTCTTGTGCATTCTACTTATTCTTTGTAGTACTGTTTTTGGTTAAATAGGGATTGACAGGTATATGGCAAATGGTTTTTTTTGTTGTATAAATGAATGATTCAAGTGGAAATTGATGTGTCGGGTGTTTTGATTATTGATGCAGTTGGGATATTGGGAATACACTGAATCTAATGTAAATATATGTTGCTAAGTACGATTTTGGCATATACCTCAGATTTGGGGAGCCTTTAATAGGTTTCTTTCCAAGCCCACATCTCTAGTTGGTACTTGAATCACCTCTCTTTTATGTTTTTTTCTTCTTCTATATTATCCTAATTATGCACATATGGACATTCCAAGGTACGACCGTGTTCGGACTCTTACTTTTCTCCTTGCCCTTGTTCACGAAAGGCGAAATCCCTTATCACTTGCCCCCACACTGCGGCTTGACAAGATTGTGGAAGGGCACACTATGGTGAGTGGTGACTCAACAACCCTTTAGGTGGGACAACAAGTGTTTAGTGCCCACAAAGAGTCCATTACACATTGGGTGTGGGTACTACCATGTTGAGGTTGCCATGGTATGGCCTCGATCTTGTCTTTGTTCACATTCTAGCTAGTACTTTAGAACAAACTAAAAGTTTGTTTTCTTCAATTTATTCTATTTACTTATTACTTATCCTATTTTGAATCACATTTCAGAAATAACTTTAAATATAACTATATTATCTGAATTTAATCAAATTAGGTCAGAACCAATCAGAAATGAACTAGCCCTGAGCTAAATATCTGTCCATGCACTCTAGAGTATTCCTTATCATATCCCAGTCTAGCTATTGTTTGTGTTTGTATTCTTTGCATCTGAGTATTAATTTTTTTTTTTAAAATTGAGTGATGGTAAACTTCAAAACTTGTGACCAATTGGTTAATAAGGCTTTGATGCCATATCAAAAAAACTAACTCAACCAAAAAAACTCAAATTTGTGTTTCTAGATATCTAAGAAAGGTTTTATACTCGAATAGAGGTTATACTTGTCTTTAGATTTTCTTGCCCAAACTATGTGAGGCGTTCTATGATATTACAATTACTACATCCATAATAATACATACTTCTTCCCTTTCGTATTTTTCTTTCTATTTACTACAATGCGTAAAATTCTCTCTTTTAAATGGTGAGTACAAAAGAGTAGGCCGTTTACATATTTACACAACAACTAAAAAAAGCCTGAAGTACATATATTATTGTGGTTCATCCAAACTGCACAAACAATGGATATTCTAACACATATGGTACAGTGCTAATAATGGCTAATTACTTGAGAACATTGAAGGAGTGAAAGAGGTGTAGTACTGATGATCATGTGAAGAAGAAAAATAAAAAGAAGAAGAAGAGGAAGACGAAGACGAAGGGTAACAAAACTGTGAAAGAAGGCCCTCCAGATCCTCTAAACCCGCAAAGAAATCTTCACCAACATTCTCCTCCATTTTCACCCTCTCCGGCTCCATTTTCGACGACGACAGAGGATCGGAAACTGACGGCGGAATCGGAAGCCGAGGCGGCGTGGCTGCGGCGGTGGTGGCATTTGATGAGGAGGAGCTAGCGGCGGCGGTGGGGGCAGGAGGAGGAGGAGGAGGCAGTATGATGAACTTGTTCCTGATGGTGCCGGCGAGAGAGTTGCGCCTGGTGGGCTGGCTGTGGCTGTGCTCCGCCGTGTACGTCACCACGAACCTCGTCCCCGCCTTGCTGTTGCTCCTCTCCACTTGCTTCCTCGCCAAACACCCTTTCGAGCTACTGCACCTATAATAGCTCCTACACAAACACAAGTAATTGTCCCATTAATTATATACGTCACAGTCGAGTACCTATACCATACATCTCGATGTATGTATGATGTTTCGCGTACATCCGTTTGAATACTCATTTTTGAGTAATTGAAAACTCATTGTCACGTAATAGAATATCCATTTTCGAGTAACTGGCTTCTCATTTACGAGTATAATTGAATCTTAGAAAAATGAGTATTCAGTTACTCAAAAATGAGTATTCAATTGATCAAAAATGAGTATTTAGTTGTTCGAAAATGAGTATTCATTTTCTCGTATATAAGTATTCATCACGGAAGTACAAGAAGTATCGTATAACTGATCGTACAGTATATATTACGCGGTTAAAATCTTACATTAGAACGTTGCAAACAAAGTAATGAATAGATTAAATTCTATCACGATATTAGAACAAATTAAATATTAATATGTTACACACATATATACCTCGGGTAAGGTGAGCCTTTAATGGGTTTCTGGCCATATTTTCTCCAAGCCCACTTATCTTTACAAAGCTCCTCAGCTTCCACTTCAATCACCACTCTATTATGCTCATTTTTCCTATTCCTGCTTCAATATAATTCCCCCAAACATAAATTAAAGAAAACCTCAAATTATTCAAGAAATATAAAAACACATATCACCATTTAACTAAACTCGATCATAACCTCGTTCCCACCATTTGTAATAAAGTTATAAAAAAAAGACACATTAAATTTTTCTTTCTTTTCATTGTCTATAATTAACTAACCTTTTTTTGTACTTGGGGGAGGATTTAGGAGTCTTCGGCGGGGAGGACTCATCATAACAACCCTTCATCTTATGATCACCACTATCGTCGCGATCTTCGGGTTCGTGTTCTCGCGTGGACAAGTAGATGGAGGGTGATGAGTTAGGCATGTGGTGGTGGTAGAAGGGCTTGTAAAGCTCCTCTAGTAAAGCATCATTTGATGAGGAAAATCCCACAAAAACATCATCATCACCACCACCAAAGGTTGTAACTTGGGAGACATCAAAAAAGTTGTTGTTGGGATTGTGGAAAAATAAATCATCATGTGTTGTTGTTGTTGTTGTTGTTGTAGCCATTGGTGGTGGCTGAGGATGAACTATGGCTTGGAGGCCCCAGTTGTTGTTCTTCTTCTTCTTGTCCTCTTCAATGCACTCTCTACCCATCCAAATCTATGAATGATTTTATTATATGGGGCTGACTTTTTTTTTAAGTTTTTGTTTGATTAGAATGGGTAATAATAGTAATAATAGATTGGTATTTAAAGAAAGGTGAGGAATGGGAGGGGTTATTATGGAAGGGGGAAAAAGTGGCTTTTGAGTGTTCATTTTAGATCCGTTTGACTTTGCTAAATAGTCAACGAAGCACCTAATTTGGAATCTTACACACGTTTTGGTTAGACTAATTGCACTGTGTGTGTATATTATACGGAGTCATCCGTATATATTATGGAGAACAGTTGTCACTATATTTGAATATACGTTCATGCTCACATCACATCACCTTTTTTGTAACCTTCAAATGCAGTTGAATCGTTCAACTGTAATTTAAATTACTCCGTATGAGTAAAGGCGTTATGTGGGCCCACAATTCTAAACACTTCAAACGTCATGTTTGGGTCATCATGGTGTAATCACATTTGGATAATGGGTTGGATGATCCATTTTCAGAGTAGTGGTCATGGGCATGAAATATCGTCCCTTCCCCGTTATGGCCCTGTTAAAGTTCTGCGTCAAATTTTTGATGCGGCTTGAAGGTTGAAATGACTGTTGGAACCCTCTCCCCCACAACGGCTATAATGCTGTTACAAATTATAAAAAAAAAATCTCCCTTTTTCTTCCTCTTTCATTCTCTATAAATTCATTCAATTTTTTTTTAAAATTCAACACATATACTAATCTCTCTCTATCTATCATCTTTCTTTAAAAAATTATTATTCAAGTATTTTATTTATTTTTATCATGAATCTCTCCAATTCCTTTCTGGCTGGTCTCGACCCAAACGGGTACGTGATGTGGCTCTTCCGGACGTACGGAATTAACCTGTCGTTGTTCGAAACGGAAACCTCGGTGAACCTCGAGGACTTGGAGTCGGTTTCGGAGACTCAACCGGAACCAAGTGCACCAACCAGAACAAAAAAAATGCACACCATCCGTTCCAAACATATGCATTACGAGAGAAAACAAAACGAGATCAAGACTAAATATAATTTGCTATAGTTTTTTAATTAATGTAATTTTTTTGATTTAATGTTTTTATTGAATGTAATTTTTTTAATTGAATGTTCTTTTTTATTGAATGTAACTTTTCTATTTTATGAATTATTGTCATTTAAATTTATTTAATTAATTACGTTTTATTCATTAATTTTAAAAAATGTGTACTAAAAAGTTTTATACTCCCTCCGTCCGGAAAAAATCTTCCCGTTTCTCCTTTTTCCCCGTCCGGAAAAAATCTTCCCATTTCAATTTTTAATCCCAATCCTTCCAAAAATACCCTTATCATTAAATTCTCAATTACTCCCTCCACCCATCCCACTTCCCCACCCACCCTGCACGCATTACATTTACTCTCTCTCTCTCTCTCTCTCTCTCTCTCCCTTTCTCTAACCCCCCACATCCCCATCCACGCACACCCATTCGAATCTTATCTTCTTCCTCTCTTCGAAAATCATTCCTTTCTCCATAGATCTACATCTCTTTCATGTGCATGAACTCTTCATCTTCTCCATCAGAGGAATCGCATGAGTTATTTTACAAACCCTATGTTCCTGAAACGGATTTTGAAGATGGGGGAGGTGAAGATTTTGAGGTGATTGTCGGCGATATTATCTCTGATGACAAGGAGGAGAACATCGTCATCGTCAGCAACAGCGACGATGATGGTACGGTTGTTGCCCCTGTCGGAGAGAAGGAGGTAATCGACCTTACCTCAGATACGGATGATGTTTTTTATCTTGGTAGCGATGAGGTTGCGTTCTTGGGAGACAGTGACACCGATGATTCCATTGGGTCTGAAATTTTTGGGATTGAGACTTCTCCTGTGATCTGCTCACACATGCACCTCCACATAGATATGCTTAACATCTTACTACCTACTCCAGATCCAACATTTTGGGCTTCAACGTACAAGTAGGGGAGTGACTTTCACCTACTTTCACTTTACAATTTTCTTGCCTGGAGTATCAATTAAATTTCTGCCACTGTGAACTTTGTTGATACATTGCTGTGATAATTGAAATTTCTTATGTGGACTGTATGTTACTGTTATGTGAATGCTGCCTGTATGAATTTTGTTGGATCAGATGTCTATGATGACTGCATTCTATTTTGCATAGTCTGAGTATAATGTAGCTACTGTGATGAACATTTTAACTCAAGGGGATGTTTCTGAGTGCTCAAGCTGTTACTCATTTATGTTTTTAGTAAATATGCCATGTCTTTTGAACTGTCTGAGGCCAACTTCTGTGATGACTGCAATGTTTGCACTGTCTGAGAAAAATAACCTACTATGATGAGCATCATACCCTTAAGGGGATGTTTCTGAGTAGCATCAGCAATGATGAAGTGGGCTTACTTATCATAAACATATGTTGGCTGTTGCATTTTATTCAATATAGAGCAGTTAGTGTGTAGTTGCCTTAATGTGAGTACATACATACCTGGTGGCAGGTGGTTACATGGTGCAAAATCCAAAATTCAAAAATCAAAAGCCAAAAACTACCACTACCAACAAGTTATAGGCAAACAAAGTGAATGTGGTAACCACTTCAAAAAACCCACATTCACTGCCACTGCACTTAAACAAAACAAAACCCAAAAACTGCATGAATATAAACCTGGATTCAGTTCAGCTCTGAAGATAGGTACTCCTGGCCCTCTTCAGTATTGAACTGAACCATATCTTCCATTGTACTCTCATTCTGTTGGTCAAGCAGTCTACATGTCTTTTGAATTAAATCTGGATCAATGTTCAAGCAATTAGGTAGTGTCCCTGCCCTGGCCATTCTATCTTTCCCCATATGTGGCAATCTGTAGTTGTTGCCTCCTTCATTTTCCATTACTTTAGTCAACACTTGCTGGTAAGTCAACCATACCTTATTCAGAGTTTCTGGAGTTAAAGCATTGTATGCTCCCTCCACAGCCTTTAACAACTGTCCCACACTGGTTGGAGCACACTTCCCTTTTAGAGACTGGATGGCTCTAAAAAAACCAAGGTCCAGTACATTTAAGTCCGGGGAGTTGGGGGGTTGGTTACCTAGGCTAATGTGAAAACCATTGTTGTTACCTGCAGCAACAAAGTCTGAGTCGAGTCCTTGAATGTGTGGCCTTGCATTATCTTGTTGAATGTGTATGTCTTTAGATAATTGTGCAGGCCACTTTTCTTGGATAGCTGGAATCACTTTGTTGATTAACATGTCTTTTGTCACTTGTTTGGTAACACTGGTGATGGGTTTCACCTCCACAACTCCTTTGTCCCTGTTCTTGCTCTTTTTTTTGGCTTTCACTAATTCACTGAAATGGAAGATGCCAACTTTGCCATCCCATAACACTTCTCCATCATCAGTAATTAGTGGTCTTCCAACCACACACAAGAACATGACCTTTGTTATGAACCTCTTTGATTTACATGTTCTGTATGGGTCTACCTCATCGGGTAGCAGGTAAAACTTTTGTGATGTTTTGGACATAAAGAACCATTTCTCATCAATGTGTAAACCATTGTGAAAACTGTTAAACCGAGGCTGGAGGGGCATACTGTCTGGTTCAACTTGATTCAAACAGAACCTCAACCTTGCCACTTTGTTGTCATCGGTTAGGTACGGTTTGATAGCATTAGAATGACTCCTAAGCATACCTTTTTTTATCCACTCATGAACGGTGGACTTCGGCTTACCAATGGCAGCTGCTAAACTCCTTATAGTAGTCCTGTTCCGCAGTGGAGTTTCTGCAATTGCTTGTGCATCCATCATTATCCTTTTTCTGCCACTGTTTGCTATAAACCGACTTCTCACATTGATGGAAACCCCCTGCTCTAGTTGTTTCTTTGCAATGGCTCATATGGTACTCACTGTTTTTCTAGAAACATTAAATTGTGCAGCGAGGTTGTTGATCTGCCCTCTCTGAGCTGAGTATGAACCGTCTGATTTTTGCTTTGAATGTGTTAATAGCGCATCACTGATACGCTGTCGGGTTGCGTTGTCCAATTTTTTCGTATTTATATGAACATTATTCATTCTCTTTGCAGAGATCCAAGAAGTGTGGACAAGAAAAGGAAAAAGAAGAAAGAAAGGAACCTGAAGAAGAAGAAAGGTGAATGAAGGAGATGCCAAAAAGGGAAGGTCCAGGGAGCTTTAAATGCTGCTGGAATGTATTTGAATGAAAATTTTCTCTTGTTTTTGGGCGGGTAGCTAAAAAAGTAGGAGGGAAATGTAAAATTTTTGTTCAATGATTACTTTTGTAAGATTTGATGTGATGTATGGAACCCATATCCCCTCCCCCATGATGTAAACAGTGATTTTCACTATTGCAGCTTTCCATTCGGTCTCACACTCTTTCCTTTACCAGTTTTTTTAGTAAGGGCATTTTTGCCATTTCACCTCATAAGTCAACTATCCAAAAAAATGAGAAAAAGTCTTAACGGGAAGATTTTTCCCGGACGGAGGGAGTATAAAAAGTTTGTAGTCCCGGTTTGAAGCCCTGGGGCTTCAAACCTATTTCAGTGAATCAGTGATGTAAGTTAAAGCTGATGTGGCAGAAATAGAAAGTTTGAAGCTGCTGGGCTTCACGAGTATATCCAGCGCTCTGATGAGTGTCAAGTTTTGCTCTCATATAGAACCAATTTTGGGACAATTTTACTCTCATATCCATAAATTGTCAATCATGCTTATGCCAGAATCTTTTTGTAAGTATATGGTGAAGACTAAACATTGTTCGAATTTCACGGTGTTTAGTTTTTTTTTGCAGGTTTTATTCACACTGACCTCAGTGCATTTTGTCCTAGATCATAATATCCTTGCTTCTATTCTATTTCTAGTCATATTGTCCTTGTTGTTGCTCATAGTGTCCTCGCCCCAGTTTACTGCTTCAGGCCAATTCATATTAACCTTGATGTCCACTACATAATGTTCTTGTATCAAAGGGGTCTAACCTCTTCGACACACTTGTTATTACAACTTATAAGTCCTAAAGTTCTTCTAGGCAAACTAACATATCTTTTAGGAGTTGGGTCAACACTAGTTGTAACTTGTAATTTATTTGTTGGATCAACACGTGCTTTATCATAACTTTCAATGGTTGGATCAACCAAAACATATTTGTTACATACAAGTGTTGGATCAATACAACACAATCATAATAGTTATTCATAACAACAATAAGCAGCCTATCGTTGGATGTTGACACCTACACTTACAATCATGCAACACACAAGGTCTAAGACGGTACCTAGGTACCTCCATCGATATCTGATTACCATATGAGACAATGACCGGTAGAGGATTCTTTCCTGAGGCGGCAGATGTACAACGTGTGGCACTAGCTGCCCGTCTCGTAGAGGTACCAACCACCGATATTGACCAATAGAGACTTTCGACTTGGACGGTAGCACGGTACCGGCCTACCACCTGTCATAGTTCTAACCTGGAGCAGCACGGAACACTATGTTTTGTGTCATTTTTGGTCCGATACACGTTTGGTAACCACATTATAACATCACTTACAATTCATACATGTTATAGAAAATAATAATTAGCAATTCAATGCCTAAAACATGCTTCTACACAAGTCTTCATATAATTCTATCAATATAATGATTACGAACGAAGATTTCAAATCTAAATATCCACTCTAGCATTAGATGTCCACATACTCACCTTGAATTGATGAAACTAAATCACGATCATGAAGACTTTGAACGCTTGGCACTGAATAGCGGAGACAGTGGCTCCAGGCTGCTAGTGTTGTGTTCTCATCGTCTTTCTTCTTCTTCATCTTCTTGGTCCGGCTTTTGGTTTGATCAACATGAGTGAATGAGAGAGTGACTTACGAGGGAGGGGTCGTACGTAAGGAGGCGGCGTAAATGTGGGTTTAACTAACGGAGACACGAGGCGTATTTATAGTTATAGAGGTTTTGTGCTCCGTAATTAGTTAATGTACCTTGATAAAAATACATTTTTCGAGACAACTTACTCCGAATTCAGATCTGAGTGCACCATTAGACCTGGTTCATCCGTATCTACACGTACAACTGTACAGTTTTCTCAATTAATAGACAAGTAATCATAATTAACTCTGGATCCGCCTCAATATTTAACTAACTATTTCTAATTAGTTAATTAATTCTGATGGCCGAGTTTTAGGGCGTTACAATATTTTCACGTTATGAAAAGAGACAAAATCTCTATTTGAATAGTTTTAATTAATATCCTATTTGAGCTTAATACATGGCTAGTACACATTATTCAAGACCTTCCCAATAAAATGTTCTCGCAATCCTTGTTCTAGAACAACAATGTTCTCAAATTTTGGATCACTTTGGAATTGGAGATCACATAATCTGTGTTTATCTCTACTCTACACATGTTTGTTCTAGTGTAGAACAAAGTGTCTCTCTTTTATGCTAAAGATATACTCCCTCCGTCCCAAAAAGTTTGTTACGTTTAGAAAAAACTGCGTCCCGTAAAGTCCGTTACATTTCTATTAAAAACCACTTTTACCTCTTACTTTTTCATACCCTACCTATCACATCATACCTTTTTTCTAATAATCTACCCATCACATCCTACTTTTACCCATCACATCAAGGATATTTTTGGAAAGTCAATACCAAAATATCTCTCTCTTAATTTCCTAAAAAGTCAAACCGTCCCATTCTTTTTGGGACGGAGGGAGTAAAACTTTGTAACGTCTCCTAAGTGTCAAAGAACCTGCATTCTTTGAGTTATATTATCAATGGTGCTTCTCTTCTATAGTATCTATGATCTTTCTCCACTCCTTCCATTTTAACAAATAGAGGAAAATCAATCTGCCAAAAGTTAAAATATGAAGTTCAAGTTGAATTGGGAGTAGTCTGGGACTCACACGTACGCCTTCTTTCTATTGAAAATTTACTAGGCCGTTGGGACTATACTTTTTGTAAAAGAGATAAAATCTCTTTAATAAATCAGATAGTAGTGATTTTAGTGTCATTGAGTGTTTTGTTTAATTTGGTTTACTTAGACTAGAAAAGATTTTGAATAGGCGTTCTCAAACAAGTTAGAAGACGTGGAGTGCACGCTCGTTCAACTATATTACAAATTCATAGAGGGGGTTCGGAGGCGACAATCCATCACAGGATGGTCCTCTGTAATTAAGATTTATTCTCAAAATAGTCCTTTGTAAATAATGTTACTCAAATGATAATTAATTGGGGGTATTTTGATTTTTTATCCGCTAAATTTAGAATAAGTTCTTAAAATGATCATATATAACGAAGTACTTTCCCAAAATGATTTTTTCTAATTAAAGATGTGTATTTGATTCGAAATTTAAAAGATTTTTTAAAAGTTTTTAATAATTCATGAATTGTTTATAGTCAATTTATTTTTTTTTAATTTTACATTTAATTACACAGAAATAACCGTTTCGAGAATATACTTTAAATTTAGATGATAAAAATACCAAAATATTCTCTAATTAATTATTATTTGAGTAACATTATTTACAAAGGACTATTAAGGGAATAAATCTCAACTATAGAGAACTATATATAAGTAATTTAAATTTAATGAGAACTGAATTAAGAAAACAGCATATTACAAAGGAATATTTTGAGAATTTACTCTAAATTTGAATTGGTGAACACGCAAAACACCAAGGAAAAACGCGTAACTTACCTAAGCACGAGAAAATATGGGCACCCCCATGTGACCGGATGGACGCCGCAAGACATGACCGATCGAAAATTCACTGATTCAATCATTGATTGATTGATGTTCAATTCCTCGATCCCCCATCCATCCTAAAACTTTCCTAATCTCAATTCACACTTAAACTTATGGGCATCTGAATGCAACTTGCAAGTGGCTTGTGGCACACACATTGCTGTGTTTTGACAAAAAAAAAAGGCTCATTCATGTATTCTCCCTAATTAATTTTAAAACAGTGTATTAGCAAACACTAATCTCTCAATCCTAATTTAAGTTTTGAAAAAATATATTAGCAATGACCTTTGAACAATTGAACTAAAACTTTGTTCTTTTAAAATTAAAATTTCAGAGCTGGATATTGGAAGAAATTAGAGGAGTTAAAAGAAACTAGAAGAAGTTGGAAAAAAATGAAAAAGAGCTCGAAAATATTTGAATAATTTAAGTGTTTAAAAATCACTCAATTAAATGATCAGCTAAATACATTTGTAAGAAAACTATAATTTTAAATAAAAAAGAATGCATCATTATTCATGTTTGAAGTGCTTTGTTATAAATTTGAATATATAATGTTATTATGTGTGTGTGTGTGTGTCTATATATATCTGTGTGTGTGTGTGTGTGTGTGTATATATATATATATATATAGTTGGAAAAAATTAGAAGAATTTAGAAAAACTTAAAAGTTAATTTTTCCAATTCAAAAGAACATGGTCTATGAACATGTTCTCCTCAATTTATTTTTTATTTATTACTTATTTCTATTGGAATTAGATCAAAACAGAAATAGCTTTGAATATAACTACATTCAAATTAGATAAGATCAAAATTTATTACAATGAGATTAGGTGAAGAGAACATGGTCTAAGCCAATTATTATTCGTTTAGAAAATACAAATATGGGTGAGTAGCTACTATTTTAATTTGTTTTAATAAAAGAAAAAAGCATGCGCCCCATTCGTTTAGAAAATACAAATATGGGTGAGTAGCTAGCTATTATAATTTGCTTTATATTTTTATTCAATAATAAAAGATGGTTTAGATTCGCCTAATACGCTAAATATGGTTGGATTACAATGTTATTTAGGAGATTATTTTATTTCAAAAAAGTAATCTCCCAAATTACATTGTAATCCAACCATATTTAGGTAAAAAAAATGTGCCACACCATATTATAAAAATAACACTAATAATAAATTAAGACCTTTATTTATTCTAAATTTACTTGTCTAACATATGGAACAATCTTGATTGAAACATAATTAATGAAAACACATTGAACATATTCATACTATAAAAGTTACACACTATTTCTTCAATAAAACTCAACTAGGTTTTAAAATATTAATTAAGCTACCTCATCCCTAAATTTCTTCATTGCTTGTTTATTTTTTCATCGAACAACATCACCTTCGGCATGTTTCTCGTTGTAGGCTGCATACCTTGGTAAGATTTGTATTCGATTTCGATGAAGATAAATGAAATTGTGCAAAATACATATAACAACAATGATTTGAACATGTTGTTCTTGCTTCATTTGAGGCATTTTTTTTTACTTTTTTCAATCAAAAACTTTTTTTTACTTTTCTAATTTTTTATTTTATGATATAAAACTCAAATAGAGAACTTTTATACAAGAGATGTATAGTTTTTAATATAAATCTCACATATGCACATTTTAAAAATAAACTAACTTGAGTTTGCACTAAAAAAAATACATCAAACCGCGTACTAATAATCTACTTGTGCTATATTTTCAAACTTGATAAGAAAAACCTAGAAAGCTAAGGGTTCTAGAAATGCATCTCATGAAGCACAAAAATCAGACGACCAAAATATATCGTTTGTCAAGTGACTCTAGAAACGTTCCACACCGGCGTTCTCTTTCCGGGTCCCACCAACTTGCTTTTTACGGAGTAGTATTATTTTTTTGCTTCACACTTTATTCAAAAACACAAAAACGAAAAAGAAAAATATCTAAGGAAAAGAAAAGGGGATAAACCATAAATGTGATAACGATCAAACAAGTCTCCAAACATGTTGTCATGGATAACAACATAATTGCATCATTAGATTAACATTTAACTACCATCCCACTAAAATAAATTTTAAAAAAATACTCTCTCTGTCCCTTAAAGCCTTTCCTTATTAACTTTTTAGGAAATCAAGGGAGGGATATTTTGGTGTCGACTTTCGAAAAATATCCTTGATGTGATAAATAAAAGTAAAATGTGATGGATAAATTATTATTAAAAATATATGATGTGATAGGTAGGGTATGAAAAAGTAAGGGGTAAATGTGGTTTTTTAATAGATAAGCGAATGAATTAGTGGGTCAAGAAAAAAAGATAGATGAAAGAGTTTAAGGACGGTGGAAGTAGTTTTCAATATGGTGTATGGACTGAAGTAATTTGAAAAGTAACAATCAAATTAAAGTTATCGTAAATACCTTAAAAATCAAGGGTGTTTTTGGTTAAAAGAAAAAAAAATTGAAAAACTTTGATTTTGTTTTCCTCTACTTGATAATATAAGTGGTAGAAAAATATTTTCTATTTATTTTCAAAAGAAAATTATTATTCGCTCCCCGTCCTTTCTCCCATCCGCCATCCCATCCCCCAATATCAAGGGTAAGTTTGGTTAAAAGAAATTTATTTTGAAAAACTTTGATTTCGTTTTCCTCTATTTGATAATATAAGTGGGAGAAATTTATTTTTCATAGAAAATATTTTCTATTTATTTTCGAAATAAAATTATTATTCGGTCCCCGTCCTTTCTCCCATCCGCCATCCCATGCCCCAATATCAAGGGTAAGTTTGGTTAAAAGAATTTTTTTTGAAAAACTTTGATTTCGTTCCTCTATTTTATAATATAAGTGGGAGAAATCTATATTTCATAGAAAATATTTTCTATTTATTTTCGAAATAAAATTATTATTCGCTCCCCGCCCTTTCTCTCATCCGCCATCCCATGCCCCAATAAAATTGAAAGATAAATAAAACATCGTAAGTTCTAAAATTGGAATAATGTTTTTCGTGGCCAGTCAAAAAAAGTGGCCATAGCGGAGGATAGTGTGAATTAAAGTTTGCAAACAAATGTTAGATATAATGCATCCTTTCCCTCATCGTCTTTAACCATCTTTTGTTTTTCCTTCTTAAACGGCTAGCAGCAGTCTTATGTTCAATAGCTTGGGCCCAAATATGGGGCTCCGACATAGCCCTTTCCCTTTGTTTGGCAAGTAATTTTGAGGATCTTATATTATAGGTGGGTAGAATACTTTGTCAATAATTACAGGTCCTTCAAAATTACTTGCCAAATTAGGTTGTTGTAAGGGCTATTACTTTTTTGAGTTTTTTCATTTTGGTGGAATTGATGCGATGAATATAAGGCTTCGTTTGACATACGGAATTGATGAAATTTGAATTGAGAATTAAAACTATATAGAATTTATTTGGATGGGATTCAATTTCTAATTTTTATTCATTTTTGGCACTATAAATTCTAAATTCACATATTTTTGCGCTACTAAACAGCAAATTAGAATTATTATCGCTAATTCTAATAATATAGTTTAAATTTCGTGTACCAAATGGAGCCAAAGGCTTTTTTCCCACACTCACGTGTGTAGGCTTAACGTTTTGAGATAAGCAGGGCGGTGAATACAAGAGGTGCTATTTCCGATGGCCATGTTGAGAACGAGAATACACCCACGATATTATTGAAAGAATACTTTCATGATAAAAAATAATTAATTTGTTGTGAATTACGGGGTAATTTAATTGCATTTCCTCATCAGTCTCAAAACAATAATTTGAAAAAATATAATGAATGAATAATGGATTCTATATTATAGTTTGATTTGGCCCACCTGTCTTATAACAAAAAAAAGATATACCTAATCCTGGGGTTCCTCAAAACCAACAAGATAATCACCCGAGAAAAAATAAATTATAATTTCGTCACATATTGGTGATAAAAAATGAATCTGCACCGGATACTTAAAAAAACCGTATGCTTAACATAGTTACCTACAAGCGCAGTCTTCGGAAAACGAACTCTGGTAGTAAACTCCGGGCTTCCCTTCCCTTGTCTACTATGCAATATATACCGGCTTTTTTTAAAAACTTTGGAGAGTAACTTTTTATTCTAGCCAGCCCATCGCATAATAGCCCCACTTCAAGAAACCTCGACCTTTAGCTTAAACCAACAATTAGGGCTAAAGTTTTTTAGAACATCAGTACTAGTGATACTTCAAAAACAAAGTCAAACTCTCAAACCCATTACTAGTTAAAAACAAGCATTTTGAATGCAAAGTAAATTTTAACTCAAGCTCAAAAGGTTACAAATGGCTATCCCTTACAAGTAGGAAGACCATGGTAACGTGGACATTCAATATAAAATAATTTTTAACTTATAAGCTACTTATTAAAGAGTAAAAAATAAGGACAATTTCAAAAATGAAAGGTCAAAACTCAAAACGGATTTAAAAAGTAAAACTACTAATTGTTTTACTTATAAACTTGTATGCCAGCTTATAAACACTTAGAAACACACCAACTAACTTATAAGTTAAAAATAACTTGTAAAAAATTTTGATCAGTTTATAAGAGCATAAAACACCTACTTTATCATGCTTGGAAATCCAATGGAAGACAAGAGATGAAATCCTCACCGTGATAATGTCAGTGCAAACAAAGAATGCTTCGTTAAAAACAAAGGAAAGCTATTTATTACCAAAAACAACACTTTATATGAATCCAGAGTGATGAAATTGGAATAGCTTCAAAGTTCCTTGCAAGGCATTACAAAACAAACATTAATCTGAACAAAAACATTTTACAAACCTTATCCTTAACCCCTCGGAAACATGTATATATAATTAAAAAGCAGCAAACTGAAAATACTATGGCAGCAAATGGTGCATCACCCCCAAGCCAGGCCTCAACAAGAAACAATGTACAATGTGTTGCCGCAATCTGCAAAAAAGAAAAACATGTTTTCAGCCGCTCCTTGAAGTTAGAGAGACTCGTTTCCCATCCAAGCAGAATGTATCACTGCCTTCAAGCTGGACAAACAAGAAAAAGCGTGTCGGATTAGAACAGAAAGTGCTGATAAATGTTGTTTTCACAGGGTCGCAAAAATGTCTAATAATATCGAAGGAAATGGTTTGCAAGGTCTTACCTTGCGCTTTAAATAAGTTATAGAATCTTTCTTAGACATGTTGTGAAACACCCCAGACGAATGCTCATCAATAAGAACTTTGAGCTGCTTAAGTTTCAAAGAGTTGCTGGGTTCCTGTCACAGGCCGGATGTCATAGGAGATAAGTTTTCAGAATCAATGTGAAAGGGCAATCCACACTCTTTTATGTATAAAGAAACGTGAGAAATTGATCACAGATGTACCTTTTTAAGGAGGCGCTTGCACAACTTCTTTAGTTTCATTTTTGGTTCAGCACAGTTGGAAATTTCGTCATTTTTTGCTTGAATTGGCGGGTTCGAATCAGAGGAATCATCCGCATCACTTTCATCAAAAGATGTCTTTTTCCCCTGAAAGAAGCAACCGGCAACCTTCTTTGGCTTGTCCTTTATGCCCAAACCTTGTTTTCCAGAAGTAGCTTTATCCTGCCATTAGACAAGTCAAGGCTATATCTCATCTCTTATTCATGTGGACACATCATACGTACTCCAAATAGAGTTCCATGATCACACAATAATTGGGGACAAAAGTATAGGACCCAGTCAAGAGTCAACATAATTGGCCAGGGAAGAATATATTTTGGTCACATTGAGAGAGTAATGCTATTTTACGGGGTATAGCGAAAAACTGAAGAAGATAAATGCGAGCACATACTTGAACACGATTGTAGAGATTTTCTTGATCATCCTCACAGAATGTAGTTCTCTTACTGGAACCTTGCTGATCTTCAACAGATGACTTCTTTTGCTTAGTCTGGGCTCCAAGAAAACCCCCCAAAACAAAACCAAACTTATGACCCCACCAATCTGGTGGGACACCATGCTCTTTATCTATACAATAAAGAATGTAATCACATATTAATGAAGATTCTTGTCAAATATTTGGTATATTTTACCCCATATGCTCTAACTGCCTATGATGTATCCTTCTGCCTAGACATCGACTAACCCCCTACTAACTACTAAGCACGGCTAGGCACAAGGTTTTAGTCTTCCGCTTAGCACTTTTCAGAACACTGCTGTAAAAAGTGTAAATTTCTTGAAAAGAGCCTTTTTCAATTCTTTTGTTGAAAAACATTCTCAGTGTCTTTTTCAATTCTTTTGTTGAAAAACATTCCCTACATTTCAGTGATGTTCATGAATCTTTCATTTCTATGTTTACTAAACTGAAAAACATGCGCCCCATAAATCTGCACCTAAACCTCTGTGGCTATAAGGGCCATTTCTGAAACAGCCTCAACACAACATGTTCATATGTTTATCTTTCATAATTACTCCCTCCGTCTACAAATAAAGTTCTCACTTTCCTTTTTCGTCCGTCCAAAAATAATCTTCCCATTTCTATTTTTGGAAAGTTTTTTATACCAAAAAGTCTAAATTACCCTCCCCACCCACTCCCTATTTTCTTTTTCTTTTTCCTTCCCCATCCACCGTTTCTTTCCCAAGAATCCTAGCCACCCCACTTTTTTCTTTCTTCTCTTTTCCCTTTTCTTTTCTCTCGTTTCTTATCTTCTTCTTCTTTCTTCTTCCTCTTTCTTCTTCTTCTTCTTTCTTTCTTCATCTCCTTCAAATTTTATTTCTTCTTCTTCCCCCCTTTCAATTTTTCATTTCTATTCTTCTTCTTATTCTTCTTCTTCTTCTTCTTCTTCTTCTTCTTCTTCTTCTTCTTCTTCTTCTTCTTCTTCTTCTTCTTCTTCTTCTTCTTCTGCTTTTTCTTCTCCCTCTTCTTCCCCCTTTCGATTTGTACTTTCCGATTCAGATCTATGAATGAAAGAAGAACCGTCTTCAGATCTATTCCATCTTCATCTTCTTCGGAGTTAATGAAGAAATTCGATTCAAGTCTTTTTCATCTTATTCATTTCCTTCGATTTTTACACCATAGTGCACGAACAGGATGCTCAGTTTGGGTCGCCGGAATTTTACACTGGTCGGAAATTCGCCGGATTTCGATCGCCTGAATTTCTCTCTGGTGAATGATGGGGTTGGGCTGCAAGAACGCCTAGGCAGTCAATATGGAAGGGTTGTGGACTTGTGGGTAGGGTTGAGGGGCATTTTGGGGAAGTCAAAGCAAATTTCAATTTTTATTAAACTCCATGCCGAGTCAAAGTGAGAACATTAATTTTGGACGGAGGGAGTATTTATCATCAGAACATCTAAAATAAACTGTCATTAGAAAAGCCATCTTCTTAACGGAATAATAACCCATTACGTTCCCCATTGCCTTAACTTAAGACAAACTTTACATACCTCAGGATTAAAATAGTTGTAAAAGAAATAAGAATATGTTATATGTGCCACTGAAATGACACGTGGCTTCATAATTTTTTTAAACAATAAACATCGGACACTACTCCAATCATTTTCTGAAGAATTTAACTTAAAAATCTGGTCACAATTCTCTACATGACAAAAAGCTTCTCTCAAAGGCAAAGTCGTCATAAACATTCAGAGTAGAACTCTATTAAGTAGGAACATCCAAAACAATCAATTTCTTATTTTTCATTTTTTCTTTTCAGTAATCATTAGAACTTTATTCTGCTTCATTGCTGGTGGGCGTCGTCATATGTAGTAATTGAATCAAAACCCTAGCTATGTGCAAGGGCAGTCGGCGATGGCTCTTGTGTCTGTGCTAGTAAAACCGGTAGGCATTTGTGCGAAGAAGAAAAAACACATGCAACAGAGTCTGAGGGTCTTAAGGCTACTGTCAGACAGATAATATAAATTTAAGTTGGACCATGGGAGGCCGATTGAATGTTGGAAAGCAAAAGTTTTTTATCCTTCAGTCCAAACTGATTGAGAAGTAGGTTAACCTGGACCACACCAAACCCGAAAACTAAAATGATCTGATCGAAGATTGACCCCTGGACCTCACTGTCTAGTTCAATAGGTTTTTTTGCTCCGGACCTAAACATGAACAGCTCCATATTTGGGTATATATAAATTGGACACTATTGTCAATGGATGCATACGGAGTACTAAAGATTAACAAGTTGGAAAAATAGGCTTCAAAAAAATTTAGGGAAACAAGTTGTTAACCGTTAGTATGTGTCCATTGCCAATGGAGCCAAAAGATCCATTTTTTAGAATTTTTATTGTTTCAGATAAATGAATACTCCCTCCGTCCCACTCTCTTTGTCCACTTACCTTTTGGCACACCATCCAATGCACTTCTTTAATCCATTTTATCTTGTAATTTGTATATTAAAAAATTATAGAAATTATATATTAATAATCTATATGTTAAGACAAATCAAACAAGATCACACATGACTATATTTAGGCTTACACATTGAGAGAATTTGATGAGTCAAAGTGCTTAGATGAACAGTTCCAAAAGTCAAAAGTGGACAAAGAGAGTGGGACGGAGGTAGTATATAAAAATGACACATTTTACTCTTCTTTTTCTAACTCTGTCCGAAGTTTTGGATATTAAACGCAAGAATGCAACAAGGATGTAACATAAACAGTCTTGCACTTTTTTTCACAAGGGTAAGATTATGACAGTTGGGTACCTCAACCAAAACAGAGTTGGGACTATGCTCGGTTGGTTGTTGTAGGAAGATTTTATAACACGGTGAAGGGAGTTAGCTGTATGGTGCTGAAGCATGCTTTAAAAGTTACCTTCAGCACTTGAAACTAGGGTTTCAGATGCATGCAGTATCTCTGACACATTCTGGACATCATCAGACTGTGCAGACTTTGTCTTTTTGACCTGCAAAAAATAAAAGTCTAAGAAGGAAAGACACTAAGATTGCAAACATTAATGTAATTAAAAAACACTACATATTTATAGAAAATAAGAATTGAACAGAAAAAGAAACATAAGCATGACTCACAAGAATTCCTTCAAGATCATAACTAGAGTAGGAATCGACAAGCTTCCCCCTTTCTCTCTTCTTATATCTGGAACACAGAACAACAAAACTATGAGCATCAAAACATGTATATGCATTTCAAAGATTTTGCAAACACAGAAGACCATGAAGTAACTAGATTGACCTTCCTTGTGGACGAGTGACTTTACTAACTATTTCTTTATTGTTTTGAGTATTCTCTGTCCCTTTTTCCTTGTGTATTTTATCATTATCATTTACTGTCATAAGAAAACAGAGGCATGTTAAGAATAATGCTCTACATTTTGAAGATCACAGACAAGATTTTTAATCTTTGATGTACCTTCATCACTCTTGATAGCAGTGGTTTGCTGTCAAATAGATCACAAGACATTATTTACATAGGAAGAGAAGAAATGGGAAAAGATTTCAGAAATGAATGATTAAATACCACAAATGACAACATACCACTTTAAGCCTTTTAAGGATGCTATCAAACTGAGTTGTATCAAATGCCCAATTGTTTGGCTGTTCGGTTCCAATACCTAGACCATGTATCAAAAATGTATAGTCAAAAACAATAAGTACACATGACAGAATTTACAGTATTATTCAAGTTAAGTTAAAAGGCAGGAGTAGCTTGTTCTTAGCCCATAAAAGTAAAAAAGCACACAGCAAGAAAGACGAGAATAGAACCAGCAGTATCTTGTTTGTTCTTAACCCTGACATGTCCTTTGATGCCTTGCTTGTCTTTTCCTAATCCTTCTCCTTCTTCCCATCCCTATGAATTGCACTTCGGCAAGTTAGACATACTCGGTATGCTACCATATTAGCTAAGTAGCCATGTCACCATAAGCTCAACCATGAAAATAATGAGGGAGAACAACAACCGATTTGAATCCCACCAAATGAGGGAAAAATATACTTAATATTTAAGAGCGTGTTCAACTAAATTTCAGTATACCTCTTAGTTCAGTTAAACACTTCTCGGTTATCAACTAAAACAATATCATCTAGCATTAATTCAGTTTAACGCTTTTCAATCAAGTAATTGTCACTTAAGGAGCCTAAGAGCAAGACTTATTCCGCTGCCATTAAATTTTCTGAGAGTTCAATCTGTTTGAGTGCCTTCCATAGCCCATACATATAAGCTACTCAAATGCAAAGTTCAGCAACAGATCAAAACAGTGTAAAGCTCAAATGCGGACGGGGAAACGAAAATGAAAGAAAAACAAAAACTTTGGCTAATGAAAATGTTCATCAGATTATATGTAACAAAACTCAACTTTCTTTATGCACAAAAACGAAAGCAGAATAGCAAAGCTCTAATTGAATTTACTCCAACCAAACGGAAAATATAAACTTCTAATCCGCTTAGTAGAATTCATGATCTCTATGTATCTAAATAGTTGTTTATGCATCGGGCGCGACTGTGTGCGAGTAAGAGAAAGACTGAGAGAGAGCAAACCATTTGCTTCATGAGGCGGAAAGCGGCGGAATTTCTAGCAACGCCAACATAATTAAGGGGAGCTTCGGCAGCAGCCATGGTGGAAGACGATCCAGAAATCTGGAAATCGGAAGCTAATTCCTCTCCCCCCCTTCTATCTCTCTCTGGATTAACAGAAATTAAAAGAGAGAGGAGAAGAAGAGGGTATGGAGAGAAATTTGGGGAAGAACATCTGAAGAAGAAAACCTATTAAAACCTTCGCCGATCGAAGGGAAGATATCGCCACGGCGCTGCGGATTCGTCCCTGAGATTGGCCCAAACTTGGGCTTTTAACCCGACGACTTCTGGACTAGAGTGAAGGCCCAATTGAGCTAACTTGTTTCGGATATTCTGCCACGTGTCTTCTGAAAGTTCCAAAATGACAAATACGCGAAAAATACGCCCAATCGAAGCCTTTTCCCAGACAGAAAAATACGCCGATATCCATGGCGGCGCCGGCGTTTTCCTCCGCGGCTCTGGTATCCAGAACGACTGTACCAGCAACGCGGCAGAGCACTCTCGGCGTTGGAACCTGCACCTCCTGGCAGTTGATTTCATCATACCCGCACGCGCCGTCGCTCGCGGTGTCTCGGAAGACCTCGCCGGCAGCGGTGGCCGCCTCCGTAACCTCCCGCTCAGTGGAAGCCGAGCCTCGGATCCCCGCCGCTATCCCGTCGAAGACGCTACCCTTCAGAGTCGGGCACGGATTCGATCTCCACCGTTTGGAGCCCGGATATCCGCTTATCATCGGCGGTGTAAACATTCCTCACGATCGAGGCTGCGAAGCTCACTCCGACGGTGAATATCTTCAATCTGTTTGTAGACGAGTTTAATTCGTAATTGGTTAAGAGTGTCTGTAAATTTCTTGGCCGGATTTAATGGCAGGGGACGTGCTGCTTCATTGTGTAGTTGATGCAATTTTGGGTGCTTTGGGGCTTCCCGACATTGGCCAGATTTTTCCAGACACAAATCCTAAATGGAAAGGCGCCCCTTCGTCGCTTTTCATCAAAGAAGCTGTAAGATTTGAACTCTATTGCTTATTTGATTAATGAAGGAGATGAATGAATGTGTTTCTTATGTCAATAAACTATTACTGCCAGAGTTAAGGTAGGAGATGAATCCTTACAGCTAGAATTGTGGCTATGACATGGGGGTTGAAATTGAAGGCGGTGGGGGTGGGTTCGGGACAGGGCGGGGTGGGGATTTACCGGGTTTAGGGAGTAGGAGCGGTCAATTTTACAAACAGGGCACGTAGGGCCCCGGGTCATCCAATGACATAAGGGAACCGTCCCTTTTCATCTATGATTAAGTTGACCAAAAATAAAAAGACTTAATCAAGCGTGACTCTTGTTTTGGGGCGAATGGTGTATTAGTTAGGACTTGGGACTTTTGACAACTTGCTAAGATGTTTGTGACTTTGTGATGCTGCCGTGTTTACTCATGTAGTAAAAAGTGTTAGACGATGGTTTAGTGCCTATTTTCAGGGAGTAATCGTGGTTATGCCGGACCCAGAAGGGAATTAGTGCAAGAGAAAGCCTAGGCATCCAAGAAGAGCCCTAGGTGGGTTTTTTATAACAGTGGTTGTTGGGTGTATTAGTGTTGTCTACATTGTTTAAAATTTGCACATCTGGAGACCAACCAACCCAAACGTACTCAGTTTATCCTACTAGGGAGTATGATATGGAAAGGATAATATGCACTATCTCCTCCTCGGCTGAGTTCACTAGTACTCCATAAAATGCAAGAATAGTTGTCGCCTAAAGTCCTAAGCTTTGATATTCAATGCAGTCTCCTTAAGTTTCTGGCTGGCTTTTTTCACTCATGCCTTCTGATTCATCAAATAACAACTCCGTAGAAAATGTCATGGGTGAGGCTTGAGTGGAAGTCGAATTGGGCAAGAAGCCGAGATACTCTGCTGACACAATGTGTGATCTTATGGGTGATGAGAGAAAAGTGATCCAACATACTACTACGGAAGATAATTAATGTGCTCATTTCTTATCCAATTTGGGCCAAACTGCCGGGGAGGTATTTAAAATATACGAGTAGCTCCCTTTAGGCCAATGTTAGAGACAGATTTTGCAACATCACGCGTACAGTAAGGACAGTACTAAGGATCTGAAGAGTGTCCCAACATGGATTTGAACCAACATTTTTGGGAAAATCCTTGATGTTATTCTTTAGCACAATATTACCATTTCTACGGAATGTTGGCTAATGAGTTATTATCATTGACCTGGTCGGGGGGGGGGGGGGGGGGG